CGTGATTGGCTGTTCAGTTTGAAAAGTATGATTCTGTGTACTAACATTTACGCAACATATTGTAGTTATGAAGTTAGGAAGATGAAATTCTAGCATTCCAGTGTTGTGAGTGACAGAGTTTGTCCTGGTAGTTAAACCTGGGCGGTAGTGGCCTATGGAAGTAGAAATCAGAGGGTTTGTTCTGAACCCACTTTTCAGATATTTGAAAAATATATTAGGCAACCACATAATACGTATTTCATGTGTTCTCAACGTCTCAGGACTTTATCTCCTGCCAAATCTCCTTCTTCGTCAACTGGATCTATTGCTTCCAGCAGAAAATACCCCTACCCAATGCCTCCCCTGCCCGATGAGGAGGAGAAAGTGAACCGACAAAGTGCCAGGGTACGTGGTGGCTTCTTCCATATGCTCATAGCCTCAGTCACGCTTGTTTACCTGTGCGTGGATATTTGAAAAGACAGAGTCATTTCATAAGAAAATGAAAAAAAAAGAATTTGAAAAACAAGGTTCTCAGGGCTTTGGGGCTTAGATTTATATTGACAAATTAGTCTAATCACTGATGAATCCTAGAACTCTTTGGCATAAATTAATTATTTATGGCTATATGTTTATATCTTATTTTATTCATTGTAGCTAATATACTACAACCTGGAATTAGACAAAACAGAGAATGTATTTCGCTTTGTCAGTTTCTTCATGTACCTGGAAATGGCAGAGACTTAAGTAAACCAGCCTCATTTCCATGCACATTGTGCTTACTCTGTTAATGACACAAATAGGATTTAAGAAATAGGAACCCCTGACAGAAAATCAGAAGAGTCTTTGAAAATGCAGGTGGAATTTGGATACAAGGAAAGGAGTCTTGAAAATCTGTAATAGTAAGAATATGGCAAAGGTATGGTGAAATTTAGCAGTCTTTTACTTAAGAAACAGATTAAAAATGTACTTGGAGTTTATTATTTTTATAAAAATATGATTCACCAGAGGTTTCCTTAAATACTAAGTCCTCTTTTACATTTAAATTATGATACTGCTCAGTGATCCAGTATCCAGAGAACAGGTCCATTATGTGAAGTTTGAGATACGGTCGAGTTTAGAGACAGAGGCAAACCAGCCCTTAGAGACTTAAGTGAAAGATTACAGAATTAAAGAATAATTACTTTTATTGATGTTGTGGTCAGTTAAACTATAAATGTGATCTTCTCAGAAATAATTTTGCAAAAAATATAAAATAAAGTATAGCTTTAAAAGCCTGGACAGAATCATCTGCTAGTGGGTCTTGGGTTCCTAGGCTTTTTGGTTTTGAAAGATATTTTAGAGCCTCTTTGATACTGAACTTGTAGCATGTGATTCAGGGAAAACTTGGATTATTCACATTTTAACTTGATCAACTCAGAGTCAGTAAGAAAACAGAACTCATTAAGACCTGATTAGATCACTATTATCAAAAAGACTTTAAAACAATCAGTGTTGTTTTATTAACCATAAAAAAATTACCTCCATATTGTTTCTATGGGAAATGGTAGAAGATGGAAGGGAAGAAGAGAACTTAGATTCCCCAGCACTCAGCTTTCTGGCCTTAAAAAAAAAAAAGACTTGAGAATAGGCGTCCAGTTGTTCATGATATGAGTATGTGGTGATAAAATCTTAGGCTGATCTCATTCCTTTCCTCCCCAGGGCATTGTTGAAGTGTAACACCCCACCTTCTCTCTCTGATAAATTGTCTGCATTGCTATTTTGCTCTGTCTAGTTGGGGACATTCAGCTGTTGTCATGTCAGGGTGCAGGTTTTTGGAGATGTTCCTCCGTGAGAGCCCATGAAAATGACAACTCCCCAGGAGAAATGTCTGGCCCATGGCCTTTGCTCTGCCCTGAGTGGGGCAACCACGAAGACTGTAGCCTCGGGGACAGTGCTGTGAAAGATCTGGTTGGTTCCATTTACTGTGAAACAGTCACATGGGCATGTAGTAGAATCCTCCAGAACAGACAGCCCTTGTCTCTGGGCTGTCCTTATGGGCCGTGGAGAATTGAACAAGCAACTCTTTCTATCAGCAACCCCTCTGTTACAGCCATCCACACATGGCCAAGGTCACACCTAGTCCTAAAAGTGATGGCTTGGTAACTCTTTGCTCCTTTATCTTCACTAGGGTAATTGTGACCTTCAGGTTTTCCCAATGTCATTCCTTTGTTCCTCTCTTTTTTTCTGCAAGCTGTCACTTATTGTTTAATCTTCATAACCATTTGTTAGAAAATTGGGCTCACAGAAGCTGAAGTCTGAATTCTTTACTACTTTGTACCATCATCTGAGCATCAGTACAAAGCTTCTTTCCCTCTGATGCCCTGCAGACCTCCTTTTAACCCTTCATTTTCCATTGTCTCCACCAATAGGTGTCATCTGCACACAAAGATCCTCACAGTTGGGAGATGTGGTTTCCAAAGGGTGATGAGATGGGTGTCTTTTTTAATGAAAAGGACTTACAAAGCAGACCTAAAGTAGATAACAAAAGGTTTCCTTGCAGAGTCAAGAGAACCTATTAAGGGAGCCTGTATAGAAACATCCAGTTAGTCACTTAGCTATTTCTCCTTTTTCTTTACTAGAAACTCATTAGGTGTAATACTGACATGCCCTGGATATCCAGTAAAAATGAAATTTGGATGGAAATTAGATGCAACCTACATCACACTGGTCTTAGTCTTCCTTTGTTCATGTTGATAATAATTATACCCAAATCACATTGCCTGGAAACATATTTTATCAGCTTGATCTTTTTTCTTCTCCCTTTTTTTTTAATTGGCCTTTCTTCTCTGGTGAACTGAATTGCACTATATTTGATCATGCCAAACTTGTTTTCAGTCCATTAAGGCATGTACTGAACATTCTAGACATTACATGTGAACAGGGCTGGTATAAAGAACTGGAGGAGAGAAAAGAGGTGAGGGAATAAGGATACTGACATCGTGCACTGGATGGGTCATTCTGCTCTGAGATGTCGGCTCCTGAGAGAGGACTATTTTTCAGGAGGCAGTGATGGATTTGGAGACTGTATAACCTGGCCATAGGCCCAGGGTTTCTAGGTGGATGGTGGTGGTAGTAATGGACTCACACTTCCCTAAGGTCAGTAGTTCTAAGCACTGGCTGTACAGAGTTGTCTGAAAGGCTTTTAAAATATACTGATGCCTGAATCCCAACCAGAGAGATTTTGATTTAGTTGGTCCGGTGTGTTGTCTAGGCAATGGGGACTTTTAAAATGTCCCCAGGCCATCATTGTTCTAACTGGCTATATCAGAATCCTGGGGAAACTGAAGTTATGTGTAGCTTTAAAAAACAGTATTTTAAGTTATTTTATTTCATTTGAGACACAACATTTAGTTTACCAAAATTACAAGTAACATTAAATGAGGATGTGAGGGTTTTATGTATTAAAAGGTGGCAGTTGTTAAAAAGGTTGAGACTCGGGTTTAGGGGAGAGAGCTAAAAATTAGAGTGTTTATTTTATCCATTTATAAGACTTTGCAAGAGTGTGCACCCACCAACACCTAAGTATTGATGAACTCACCAAATCTTTTTCATCTTTGCTGTTCAGAATATGCCTGTTTCCTCTTTTCACAATGTGAAATTTTGCTCTTCTCTGTTATGCAGCTATGGGAGACATCCATTTAAGATCAACTGTTTACATGTGATACATCGAAACTGTTTACTTCAACTTTTATAGAAAGAAACCCAGCCTCACGGAATCACTGCAAATCTATCTGCTCTTCAGACAATTCGAAAACATCACTGAATGCCACAGAGGGGAGGAAGTCGAGTCTCACATCTGGATATCACTTTCTTTTTGTCATTGGCTTAGGATTTAACTGAACCATGAAGAGAACCACTGAAATGTGACACTATAACATGGAACAGTAAAGGTACTGGTATGTTCATGGATAATCCGCATGACAGATACATGTAGAAATATCACTAAACTTAACTCACACGACCCAAATGTAGCAAGTTTCCTAAGGGACAGTAGTGGATTCAGAACTTGCCATTCTGAAGCCCATCCTCATTGTAGACAGTAATGCTCTGTGCATGAAGCTTCTGTTTATTGTTTTCCACATTTAAGGAAACAACATCTCATAATAGAAACTAGCATGCAGGGCTAAGGCATCTAGGGTTTTTCTCTGCAGGACTTTAAAGCTTGAGAGGCCAATATCCTATGCGCTCACTGTAAACATGTATTTTTTATTTTATTTTATTTTTTACTTTTCATATTTATTATCAGCATCCAAGGACCATTGTACATATGTAAACATTTTTAAAATTAAAAAAAAAGCAGCTGTTACACACAAATGTATTTTGCCAAATGCCTAACGACAGTCAGTCACCATCATCCACCAGATGGTCTTTAAAGATTATAAGCAGATGATGTTGTAAATATCGTAGTCAGTGCTGTATATGTGTCTCCCTATAATTGATACTTGTCCAAAACATGTGATATCCCTTTAAGCTGTGTGCAGTCCAGAGGCAGTTTTATTGAGTAATTAATTGAACAAGAGAACAAAATGCCCAGTAAAACCTAGGGCCTTTGCAGCCTGCTGGGCCAGGAATCCGGTGGTGCCGCTGCTGTCCGGCCTCCAGGTGCGCCACTGTTCCCTGGGAATCCTCCAGCCTGTCCCCTTTCCTTCTGGGGGCTTCAGTGCCTGCCTCAGCACCTATTAGTTCTCGGTTCCAGAGCACACCTGCTGACCTCACCCTGGGGGCCTGCGAGCCCCACAGCAGCGTGTCCTGCTGGGATTAAGCAAGTGCACCAAAGACATGGGAGACCACAGCTGCTGCAGCACTGGTAGCCTCCGACATGCCAGTCCTCAGACCCTTTGTGGCCTAAACTTTGGTTCTTTTACAAAACTTTTTAGCCATCCTTATTTGTGACATGAATGACTTGTTTTAGTACAAACAACTTTTACCCTGTTTGTTAAGGGTTTTTTATCAGCGGTGGGATATGAGTCCCAACAGGTCATTCTGCACTGACTTGTATGTAAGTGGTGGAAGTTTCCACCAGCTGGGCTGGGAAGCCGCAACAGGCCACCGAGGGTTGACAGAAACATAAAACCAGGAGTGCGCAGCCATGGTGAAGTCACCCAAACAGCTGTCACAGGGAAGAATCTGACGTTCTGAACTCTGTATTTTTTTAATCCATGGGAAAGTAAGAAATCTACTTTAAATCCCCTTCTTTAAAACCAAAGTTTGATGGCTGTCATTGTGCAGCTCTATCATTCTGAAAGAAAACTTCTCTCGGGAGGCTACACTAGTAAGCTCAGAAATTGATGGGATCAGTCAAATTCTTTGTTGTGACCAGTAACTCTGAATTTCCTCATTTTCTCTCCTTGGTCTTGAGAGGAATAGAATATGCAGATAAAATTTTAGAAATGTCCTCTAAATTTGATCTCTCCCAGTAGTGTCCAAGGACAAGGTCCATTTCATCTCCACGTGTAATGATCTTGGAGGCCTACACTGAATGGCTCAGTTAGAAGGCGGTGTTCTATACTCTGTGTTTATGGCTTCTCTAAAGGACCTCTCTTCTGAAAGTCTGAAAACATTTGAAAACAGTTTAATCCACCAAAATGATAGACAGCATTTTTTCATGACAGGAAGGGATGTGATTGTCAAGACAACAATAAATGATCCATCAGAGACTAAAGTCTGGATGAGCAGTGGGTGGTGTGTTGCCACGGAGCTCAGCCGAGGACAGGAGGGCAGACAGATTTAAAGATGTAGCAAAGAAAGTGGCTTTTGCCCAACATCACTTTTATGTGCACTGAACGTTTTCTGGAATTGAGTGTATAAAAGGCTAATGTTATAAGGTTTATTTTGACTATAATAGAGTTTATAGATTTGAATGTAAGGTACCTCGTGTAAATACGCTTCCTAGTTACGGTTACACATCCCTGATTTGGAAGAATCCACAAGTAATTAGCTATGTAGTCAACAGATCCCTTCCCCCTTCTCCCTCTTTCCTCACCTTCTCAATTATTTTTACTTGAAAATGACTATTTCAAGTGAAAACTCATTACCTGTGCCTTTTGGGAGACATGGTGGCTCTAGAGGTACATAGCTTATAGTCAGCTTCCTCAGTAATAACCTTCACAGGGAACTGACCGAAAAGTGTTTTGTTTGCAGAGAGATTATGATTTTATAGTAGCTTTAATGTGCTATTCTGGATATCTGCTCTCGACAGGGATGCTTAAACATTCTTACAGCCATTTGCAGAATTCTTTGACAAGTTTATCATTTCTGTAGATAGTTTTGAGAAGTACCCATCCATGTGCTTATGGTTGGTGTTTTTAGATGTATTAAAGCTAAATATTCATGGCTTTTCATCCACTGAGGCAGAGAAAATGGACTCATGGCACTAAACACAAGCACAGCATTATTTTTATTATTTTTTTGGATATTTATTTTGGAGAGGAACTTTGAGGCCACATAGTAGTTTATATCATGCAACAAATATTTATACACCCCAGTCAACTATAGGACTATTATACCAAGCAGAGAAAAGCAGTTGTTTGGCCTTTATGTTCCATTGTATGCCTTTTTCCTCTCTTTCTAAAGTTTTGTGTGTAGATAAGACTTCAGATTGACGGCTCTGCAACCTGAGATGTTCCATTTACCCATGGTCATTCCAGTGCAGTAAACTCTGATTTAAGGAAACACTTTTCAATCTCTCCACTAAGAGTGTCCACAAAGGAGGTGTGGGTACCAGGGAGCCCCGAGGGAACAGACGGGTCAGACTGACTGGCCTCTGTGCGGCCGGCCAGTCTTTCTTTAGACGGGAAGTGGCATCCTCCCCTGGGGTCTCCCAGCTAGAAAGCGATCCCCTGGCCACATGTCATCTGTGGAAAGGAATAAACTCTGTTTAAACAGTGAGGCATCATTAGGGCTTTCAACTTGCTGTGGTTGCTGTAGTTTCTAAAGAAATCTAGTGCTGCTCCTTAAAAAAAAAAAAAAAGAAAAAAGTTGACTAATAAAGTAGATGCAAGGTTAAAATGCCGAACATATGTTTCAGTTTGATATATAGGTGCTTTATTAAGTGAGGCTACAGTTTCTCTGTTTCTCTCACCCTTGCTTTAAAAAGGCTTTTAAATTGTGTTAATACATAACGTCAATCCAGCATAGATTCCTGAACGTAAGATTGACAGGGTTTCTAAAAGAAGTTGCTGAAAAGGCAGAACTAGGTGTTGCACGCACTTCCACAGAAGGACAGTTTATGTTTGAATTCTAAAACAAGGCTTGTATTTCTTACATTTCTCTTTTTCCTGTTGATCCTCTTGCAGATTTGCATAATTGAATCTAGTCCTTTGTCTTATATCTCTTGTGGCTCCTTTACCTGTTACATTTTTAGATTTTCTTCTTTACTTTTTATAGTTACGTATAGGCCAGAGCAAATACGGTATTTCTAATCACTTCCAGTGTTTCAAAATCAAGTTTATTTACTAATCTCATCCGTTCTTTATTTCCTGTTGTCATGGCTCTATTTTAACATTTATATTTAGTGCTTTAAATATTACCTTGTGTTACTAAACATGGTAATACATCCCTACCTAAAGAGAAGACTATTTTATTTTACTTTATTTTACTTCAACTTAAAGGAAAAGGAATTTATTGGAATTTACTGAGTAGCTTGCTGGGTATTTGGGACGGACAGAACAGTGAAGCACGGAGTAAACGTGATGAAGGCGTGAAGGGAGGCAGGACAGCTCCCCGCCAGCCTGATAGGACGCCTCCTGTGGGCAGCATGTTTTAAATGCCATCCTACCAGTCAGTAAATTGGCATGAATTTTGCCTGAAACGCTCTGACTCCCATCTGCAAGCCTTATTATCTACTTTTTATGCTTCTAATTATCTTTTTCCTTTCATGTCTGTGTTTTCCTCTAAAACCTGACACTCAAATGCTTTTTTTTCTTAAATGAATTTCTTACTCTGTCAGCTTAAAATAAATATGAAGCAAATATTGCTATGGAATAGGGCTCAACTGGTGGCTCCAGCTTTTAACTTTTCCAAATGGATAAGACTATTCTGATTTCAGAGGCAGCAACTTTTCCTCCAGCACAGGCTAGCTTCGTAACGGCTTCTCCTGTGTACTGGATCGCCAGGCCCCCAGCCGGCTCTGATGAGAATCAGCTGAGATGCCGCCCACTGGGCTCTGCGGGCGCCGGGCAGGGGTGGGGTGGGGTTCACAGCAGCCACACCTGCTAGGAACCTTTGGCACATGCTTTGTGGGCAGGTGTTTTTAATTCTAGGAGGAATTTTCAACCAGGCCTGCAAATGCGGAGCAAGGAAAGATGCAGCGGGACCTTGGAAATCAGGAGATAATACTTCTGTTAATATTTTATTCGTTGCTTTGTCAGAGTCCCCCAAATGGAGTATCTTCTGGTTCAGTTTAGATGTAGAAAAACAAAAACCTGCCCAGTATTTTTGTCTTCAGTATCCAGAGCCTGACCAACAGTAAGCATCCTCACTGTGGGTTTGAGAGATCTTTCCTCACTACTTCCAAAGTGGCTCCACCTCCAGTAGTGGTCAGCTCTTTTCTCCTGACTAGGAACTTTGACTGCCATGAAGGTAAGTCCCTTCTTTGCTTAAAGTGGCCCGTGGGGAACCACTGAGGTGCGGGACCAGGGGCTAGAGGCACTTTGCGTGGATCGTGCAGTTTGCGAAGTCACTGAGAGACTGGTTCTCAGGGTGTGTTTCAGGATGTGGAGGAGGTGAGCAGCAGCGAGCCTTGGGAGGTTGTGGGGCATTCAGCCCCCGCAGGGGAGCAGAAAGCTGAGCCACACAAAGAGCTCAGAAGCCAAGAGCACAAGTTGGCCACTGGTGGTGTGGTAGGGAGAGAGGTGCCGAGTGCCTACGGCAGGCCTGTGTGCCTTGCAGTTTTACTGAGTGTTGGCTGTATGAATACTCCATTGTCCAGGTGCGATGGGCCAGTCACTCCTGCCTGGTGAGTCCCTGTTGCATTGTCCATAGAACCTGTATCGTACCTGGAGGTACTTCAAAGCTGGCAAGGTTTTGGTTTAAGGACATCATCATTTCATGTTTTTTAGGTATCCTTGAAATCAAAATGAGGAAACAAGTGTGTTTTGTTTTTGTTTTTTACAAAAAGGCATACAATGAGACTAGTGACGTGAAGATAATGTGCTCACAAATTTATCAATACAGCTTTTAAAGAGTTCATGAAGAAAAGGGCATTTTCCTCTCAAGTTAAAAAAATACACGTGCATATAATACTAATCTACGTTTACTTTAGGGCTTAGCCTCTCTTTTTACGAAGTTTCAGATGTAGATTTGTGTTTTGGTAGTCAGGCTCTAAAAAAATTGCAAACAGCCCCCAAAATCTTTAAACCCAGAGGTGCTAAGTTATACCAGATGACACCAAACAGAAAGTGCTGATAGGAATTAATACATTTATTCAGTAATAACACAAGAATTCTTGCTAAATTATACATGTGTATCACTGCCTGCTGAGAAACCCCACTTTTCTTTTCTAATCCAGCACAAAATCCAACTGTGATTCTACAGCCAGTCTTTTTACTATGTAAAAATGACCCAACATCTTTGTTTTGTATGGAAGGCTTTTTTTTTTAAACACTAATTTCAAAAGTGCTCAGCAAATGTTTATTCAGAATAATAAGCATGTACTCCTTTTTTAACTTGCTGGAAGAGACTTGCCCCTCCAACCACACATCACAAAAAGACAACTCAACTCCTTTTAGAAACTGAGCATTTTACCTAAACAGAGCAGTTTGTATGTTTGCCAAAGTAGGTCTCACTCGTGTTCTCCATGTCCCTCATCTTCAAGGGGTGATGTTCTATCTACAGCTAGCGGAAGCCACTTGGTGGGGAAGTGTTGACAGCAGCACGGTTTCACTTTCGGTAACCAGGGAATCACGTGTATATACTTAGGTTGGCTTCTTTTTAATGTTATAGTCTCTCCGCTACTCCGCACTTGGGGTTCGTCAGCTATCTGAAACATTACTGGGTTTTGGCAAACAGCAACTGAAACATACATGGCAGCTGCTTTCCAGAGCAAGCGCGATTTGGTTCATGGCTGTTCAAGTTATAACGTTGTTCTTATGCTGTAGGTCAACAAAATCTTGCTGTTTTTAAAGGTCACTGTTAACATAAGGTTCAAATCTCTGGCACAATTTTATTAGTGTTCACTTCTGAAGCTAATAAGGTACCACAGTTTTCTATGTTACTCTTCATTGTAACATCAATAAAGTGACTTTCAATAAAAGATTTATGTTATTTTGATGCACGGCTCCCTTTGATCCTGTTTTTTGCTGTTTCTTTGCAAAGCTTTGTGGGGATACTGCTGGGCAGTGCTTTCTTTTCTGTTTCACGCCATCCTAGAAAGGACTGTGGGCGCGGTGGGAGATACCAACATCCTTCTGGAAAGCCTGAATGCTCGATTTGCTGGGGGGCAGACTGAGTCTTCCCCATGTATCCACCTGCCTGGTTTCATGAACACTTTCTCCCTCACCCGAATAAGGATCGATTTCCTGCATTCAGTCGTAGAGCCCAAGCAATGGTGCTTACTTAACGGGCTCCCTTGAATCAGACTGTAAAGCACTGGGCCTTGGGTGGGCTCAGTGTAGGCCCATGAGTTCACTGCCTGAACAATTCTTCCACCCGGCCTTTTCCTTGTCTCGCGAGCAGCCCTTTCACCCACCAGCCCTGACCCTGGCACTTGGTTTCCTGGCCTTTTGCTCCTAGTCAGAGTAGTTATATGTAGTCAGAATACTGGTTTAATGTGAGAAAAAGGACTGCACTAAGGGTTTGTATACCTATTATGCGATTAAAAAAATTACGGTGATTACAAGAGCTCCATTTTTTGTATTTGTAATATTTTAGGCCCATAAGATAAACACCAACAGTAACTCAGCCGGGCAAAAGCAAAGTCTAGAGCAGAGATAGCAGCAGTTTTTGCTCATGTGCCATCTTAGGGACTGACGGCTCCCCCAGAACATGACGCTGAAGTGGTCTAAACTCCATTTTGGCTCAACAGGACTGAGAGCTGTGATTGGTGACACAGGACCGCTGTGGCACCAAACTACATCATTTGTCACCAGGGAAGCACAGGCCTCCTGCAGCCACATTCCCATGGAAGTGCTCGAAAAGGGTGATAAGTACTTTATAAATCATGCATCTCTCGAAATGGAAGAATAAAGCACTTGGCTCCAAAATTAAGTTAATCTTGAGTTGGGATGATTTGAGTAACTTAATTCTCCAAGTCTGAGCTCACAGCTTTACTATGCACCAACTAGATGCTCTTTAAAAGACAGACCAAAAAACAGTTTCAAAGAAGACGGTGAGGCTGCACTGAAAGTATATGATGAGGGAAACACAGAGCCCAGCATAAAACAGAAATAAGGCAACATGAGATCTACTTGTAACAAAGAGTCTGGCTGTAGTGAAAGAGGATGGATACGTCAGATCTGTCAGGGGAAGGACTCTCCAACTGCAGGCCATACTGAAGATTAGGTTCTGTGCTTTCAGAAGGAAACAGTGAAAGTAGAAGTGGAGGAAATAAGGAGACTTGCTACGAACGTCAGTGATTCAAACTGAACTGAGCATTTCCAGAGACAAGGTTTTGTGATTCGTTAGCAAAGCAAGTTCTGAACCATGACTGATGCAACACACCTTGGGACTAAAGCGGTAGGATGGTTCAAGTACGACGCACAACCTTTGGTCAGCAAGGACCTTCTGCCTTACCACATTAGTCACCCAGGAAATGACCATTTCCCTAAGCTATGATTTCCTCGGAGGATCCTGGTGAGTTTGAAGCAAACAGCAGGTGCTGGGACTCTGAAGGTGAGTTCCCTGCCTTCTGGTCCTCTGAGCCCCCTTTGGTTCTTTTTTGGACAGCTCACGCTCAAGCCAAGCTTTATGGCCTCACAGACAATATATCGGGACTAAAACCTAGACTGACCATGTAATTAATACACAGCAGGCTGCCTCACATTGTAAGATGACAGAAATATGTAATTATAAGTTAGGGTTGATGAATGTATCAATGAATGTATATATTTAGCAATATTTGAAAAAATAATTAGTGAAATGAGGCTAAAGATGCTTAGAAAACGTTTTATTTTTCATTGACAACTAATGATCATCTGATAACTCTCCCACTGTGCCCTAACATAAGACAGGTGTCCTCCTGGGAGGGAGAAACTAGACTGATTTCATTGTTTTATCTGTTAGGCTCTCTTGCTGAAAAGAGCAAACCAGGCTAGCTTTAAATTTAAGAAACAGAAAGATTACTGGTGCTTATTGTACCAACACACTTTCTCATTCAGAACCACCCTATGGGGTAAATATTACCTCCTTTTCAAGGATGGGGAAACTGAGGCTCTGAGATTATCTAAAATAATCGATCCACATATTTAGAAAGAGGCATAGCCAGCATTAGAATACAGATCTTACTTAAAAGCACGTGGCTTAAAAATGGAAAGAAAAAAAAAGTCTTCCACTATAAATGTAATACTTGCTTATCAGAGCATATTTGGAAGAGCAGTAGGAAAAGGGAAAATGAACTTATGATCCTGACCTCCACTGGAAGCCACATCAACATACATGTATACTCTTTCCAGTCCTTTTACTGTATATATTTTTTAATGTAAGTGTGAACATATGGCATATCAAAGTGGATGTAACACTACTTTAAAAATTAGCATCTTCTGATTTTAAAAGGAAAGCACACACATTACAGAAAACTCAGAAGATACTGAAAGGCATAAAGAGAATTAGTCACCTAGAATCCCACTAGCCAAAAATAACCATAGTTAGTATTTTCATATATTTCCTTTAGTCTTTTCCTATGAATTTTCTTTTTTACATAGTTAAGCTCATAATGTACCAGATTTTTAAGTATAGTTAACAAAGGACTACACGGATGATGGCAAAGAGGAATTTGCTGACAGACAGTTTTTGCCACTCAAGATTTTTAAACATGTCCATTCATACAGCCATCAAAATACCTGTAAGCCTTAAATCCTGTGCTAAGTTTTCCACTGAGGAGAATGGATTACCAGGTTTTTTGTTTTTTCTTTTTTTGCATCCAAGTGGTAGTCTAAACCATTTACATGATAAGAATACACCACACCTAAAGCTTTCAAGACTAGTAAAAAAGCCCTTCTAAAAGAGGAAGACAGCAGCTGTAGTCTGAAGAAGAGGTTTTAGTATCTTACAATGAAAAATACATAATGTGCCTTAAACAATTTGCACACTTAAATTTACATAAAAGAAGGCTTAGCAAGAAAGTAAGGCATGATGGACAAGAGCTCAGGAAAGTTCTACACAGTGCAACAGACCAGATCTTATATTAATAACATTCCAAAGAATTTATTATCAAAACTAAAAACTTCAGTGGTACATAAAGTAATAAGCCTTTACAACGGCTGTTAAAGGAAAGTGGCTGTGTTAGTTTGCACACATCACTGAAGGCAAAGAGCAAAGGAGAACTCCAGTTGGAATGTCGATTCTGTTCATGCAGCTTCCTCATGATTTAAACGCTCATGACGCACTGAATGAACTGAAAGAAACATCAGCATTAGACTGCAGACCCCACAACACTGAAAACTTAGCTTATTTTTAGGCAGCTTACATTTTGGTATTCCAATTTGAAGTGTGGATTTAAAAAGATTCCAAAAGTAAGAGGAAATGATGGGTGGAAAGGTTCATTTTTTTGAAGGAAGCAATCTAATAAAAAATCCAATTGGTTCCCCATGTCAAAAGTGTCTTGCAGGAAGCCGATCTTACTCCAATGGATAAAGAATTATTTACACTCCAAATAATATCTTGGACTCTAGACATGGTCACCGTCAAAGGCACCTACTCCCAAATACAAATAGCAGTGCAGTTTCTAACTTCTGTCCCATGGGAATCTCTGAACTGACAGTCTTACCCCACCTCTCTATCAGGGCGCCTCTCAACAGTTTATTCCCTTCAAATCCACTTGACTAAAATAAATCCTAGCATGCCAGCATATGGATGATCAGAAACAGAATACCCGACCCTTCCCCTGAAATTCAGAAATCCAAGTGTAGAAGCGTCAGTGTTTGCTGTGAAATGTTTGCTTTATCACCAAACACACACGCATAGACTCTGCTCTTTCTCTCAGCTTTCCTTTTCACTCTTTCAACACCAGGGAGGCCCTGGGCACTGCTAATCCTTCCAGCTTTCCTGCAAGGCCGAGCTGATTATCCCTCTATTCAGGGAAAAGGAACTCAGGTCAGGATGTTCAGACATCCCTTAAGTGGCCCTGTCTGAGGCCAGAGCCTGGGCACCGTCCACTCCACAGACCGCCCCTCCATCTCTGGAAACGGAGACGGGGCTGTTGCCTGAGAAGTTAACATACACTGAAGCGTACACACCTTTAAGAAGAAGAGCTACTCACAGGTACATGTGAGCCTTTGTAAAGTGTACTCACAAGTAGGGCAGCTGCGGGCCGGTGTGTGCAACTTTGGACTTTGTAATGGAGAAAACTTTTAGAATGTTCAGGTATCACAGTGATTTCCATTCTAAAGGTGGTTTCTTTTATCAATGTCTGAGCAAAAACGGGAGAAACATCTCCCTAGCTTTGCTATGTCTAACCGACCAAGGCCATCGAAGACGGCTGGTGTTTATGTTCACCCTGGTTACGTGGCCTCACCCTACCTCATTCAGTGTAGCTGTTTAATGAAAAATTGTTTCGAATTATGACTTAAGTTTGTGCTGTTTGTCCTCAATGAAGAACACGGGTATGGCAAGTACAGCTTTGAACCACCCAAGTGATTTCTCAAGGACGGAGACAATTTGTTTAAAGAAGGCAAAAGCAGATACAATATCTGCGTGATGTTTTCCAAGGACATTTCTGATTGAAATCTCACAACAGCCCAGTGAAGACGGCATTACTACTACTTCCTCTTTCCTAAAACAGTTCCTGAGCAATAAAGAGCCCTAAGTGACCTAGAGGGACACTTAACTAGTAAATGGGATAAGCTGGGCTTTGTCCCAGATTTTTCAATGCAAGAAACAGTGGTCTATGGATAAGACAAATAATAAATGAAATTAATAAATTCTGAATAGTAACTCCTTCTGATCATTTAATCCTTGATTGTTCCAGCATCCTAAGATATTCTAAATAGCCAGCTTCAAAGGGATGCCCATTTGCTGTACATCTTTCTTGTCAACCCAGTTCTGAATTGACTGAGACTTACATCATCATACGGGAAATTCACAACACCTTGCTGAGCAGTATCCCGTCTTCGAAAGCTGTCTGTAAAACACCACAGTAAAAGTTATGAGTTTTTAAACATCTTATCTGAAATCATAATGGTTAATTATGTTGGCACTGGTTTCAAAATGCAGGAACATTTAAATTGTACAACCAGCCAACGTAAATAAAAGACCAAAGCAAGAAGCCAACTGTACTAATATGAACAGGTTTAATACGTACCAAGTTACACAACACACAAAAGTTGGCCAACTGTCTTTCTCAGCGTAGAGCTGGAAGAAAATTACCTTAACCTCAAGTAAGTAAAAGCTGCATGACTTCTGAGGCCATTCTTAATTGCAAAAGCAGAGAATTTCAGACTTCTTAACAACACAGATACTATATAATCAGGGAATGGATGGATGGTGTTCTTAATATGACAAATGGCTGTGATCAAATATTCCATCTGTTTGAGCTCTGTCTTACTGAATGAAAAGGATTTACTTTAATAAAGAAATCTGCCCTTAAATTTGTGTTAGGATACAAAAACAAGATAAAACTAGCTCTGAAAAGGGTAAGAAGCTAAAGAGAGAAATGAACAAGAAAAAACATACAGAAGAAGGGAAAAGCATAGAGGGAAGAGAAAAGTGGAGATTATTGACAGAGGCTTGTTTAGGAAGGACATTTGAAACAGGCACCACCATGTTAAATTATTTTCCAACAGAAGGAATTAGAAAAAGAGAGCAATCAATGGGTAATTTCACGCTTCTCAGCTATTTCATATTCTAAGGAGAAATCACAGAATACTGCTCATACTCTGATCAAAAGTGCACCAATCAGCTTGTTATGTTTGGGGACATTTTAGGAAAATTTAGTTACGATTATTTTAATGGCAGATTACTTAGTAAACTGAAAAAAAAATCTCTGGGAAAACAGAATTATTCTGCTAGATGTGCTTAATAGCAGTCTCAAAGGGCACACCTGTCAGAGCTCGAAGCTTGACGCAGCAGGCGATGTAGTCATCGAAGGTGATCTTTCCATTGGTGCTGTATCGTTTTGCAATTGAATTCACAGCCTGGGGACTCAGCCTAAATCCTGAAAGGAAGAAAGATCATCCAGGAAGGAAAAAAAAAGTTCAAGGATTACAAAAAAAACCATTAAAACACAATGTCTTAAGACTGAGAGGGCTCATTTAAATTATGAATACGTGCTACTTCTAGAAAATAGAGACTGCCTCCACATAGCCTTTAGTTTTAGAAATTAAAAAAAAAAAGCTTCTACCAAGGAACACAGATGAACAGAGAGATGGAGTCAGTCACACCCACCCATGGCTGTCAGGGCCTTCTGCAGTTCTTGGGGATCCACTGTTCCACTGCGATCGCTGTCAAAACTGATGAAGTGTTGTCTCCAGCCATTCAGGACAGCCCAGAGTTCTTTAAATTCATTGAAGCCCATTGTGCCTGACATATCTCTCTGAACTGTCATCAAGGATTAGAATATCTCCATTTTGCAATATTTTCTAACGATTAAATCAAAGATCAAGGGTAAGAGAATTTAACAGTTCTTTCTGCTGAGGTTAAGAGTGTTACACATTCTTTTAGGAAGGCTAGAACAAAAAGATATTCTCATGATATAATAAAAAGGGGCCTGTGGAGAAAAAGTTCGGAGTACATATTTTCACTGTGGGAAAAGATAATCTATGTGATGTGATTACGAGGAAATAACTTGGCCGTTGTGAGCCACACATAACAAGCAGGCTTGTGACAGAACTGGGCTGCACTTTCTGGGTGGCCCAGGCTCTGCTGCTCACTCCTCTTTAGTCCTTGCCCTCCCTTGGTAAGCCCTCCCAGACCTGCTGTTTCCACTTTTGAAAGTAAGGCTGGGAGGCACTGAAGGGTCAGCACTCACTACACTGAGTCTAACAACTGCGACCTGAAAAATCCCATTGCTTGAAGGTCAGATGTGAATCACACAGGGCAATCAATGTTACAGCAAAAAAAAAAAGCCTTCCTGACTGCTCTGGTTTCTATACTTGTTCACCTTTGATGCTTCCTCTAATTCTTGAACAACCAACGTTCTATTTACTAAGCTTCCTTCCTTTTTTCATACCAAATGACATCTTAAAGGCTAATGAGTTCAGAAAATGTTTTTGTAGTCATTTGTCACTTTGTGTTTACTGGGTATTAATCCTTAGATGAATTCCTTCAGAAATAATATTTTTGTGTGTCCAGAAAAAAAACACTATAGACAGCAACCAAGGTGAAGGATACATCCAGCATTGAAACCATAAGCCGGCAAGTCTCCAGGTTAAAAGCTGTTAAATCAAGAAAAGTACATACATATTAATACCACTTCAAAAATTCACATTACATTAGATACATTCAAATCACTTAGGAATGTGATTATTTATGCACTTTTATTTTTATATGCTGCTCAATTTATGTGAAACTAAAATTTATGGAGTTTTGAAGTAGATTTTTTTTTCAGATAGAGGATTCCTTCTAGAATCCAAATTTGACTTTAACAACTTTAATAGAAATCTTTTTATGCTTATTTTTTAATTGAAGTGTAGTTGATTTAGTGTTAGTTTCAGATGTACAGCAAAGCGACTCAGTTATACATACATATATATTTTTTCAGTTACTTGTTCATTGTGACTCATTCCAAGACACTGATATAGTTCACTGTGCTATATAGTAGGTCCTTGTTGTTTATTTTATATATGTAGTAATGTAGAGATCTTTTTAAAAAGTATTGCATAGTACTGTTAATATTTTTAGGTGTGACTTATGGTTTTGAAGTTGGGGGAAAAGGTGTCCTTGTCTTTTAGAAAGGTACACACTGAAGTTATTTGTAGATGAAATGAATGTTAAGAGATCTGAAATTTGCTTTAAAAAATGGGCAGGATTATAGATAAAACAAGAATGGCAGCACACTGACAACTGCTGAAGCTGAGTGATGGGTACACAGAAGCTGACTGCATAATTATCCCTATTTTTGGATAGGCTTAAACTTCTCTATAATATAGTGTCTAAAAAGTACTATATAACTTTCTTGCTTTTGAGACTGTAATAGAGTGAGTTCATTTCACCATAATGAACCACAATGTATTAAACCCACCGAGGTGAACAGGAAGGTAGGATTGCTTTGTTCCTACGCACAATTCACTGTAGCTGCTTTTGCTAATTTCTGTGTCTGATCATTTGTTCTTTCTTTTCCTTTCAATATCAGACACTGAATGGTCGCCTCCTACCTCAAATAGCCTAAGATCTGTCTTCATATGCAATAAGATAAATACGCTTGCTAGAATCGTGCATTAAATGAGAGCACTCTGGATGAGACCCAGTGACCTTTTCAGGGATGGGCACTGTTCAGAAGCCTCTTTAGTTCACTTACAGTCTGTGGGTGCCCTGAGGGTGTTTCCATACCTCACTCAGACAACCAAACTAGACTCCACTTATTGGTTAAAGGCCTAGTGTAATCTACCGAAGCATCAGCCCGTTAAAAATAAAGAATTCCTTGCATTTTACATTGTGTTAATGGGAATCCGTGACTTCGAGGAAGTGTTACTAGGTCCAAAAAAGCTGTAAAACTAGAATGAAGAAGTATCAAGGATCATGGAAAAGCTCGACTAAATTCTACAAGTTTGTTAAGATGCACACAGAATTAACATTTTTCACAGCTGTTACTAGCTTCACTTTTATCTTTAACCAAAGTGAATTTAAAACACAACTAAGGTAACTCTTATTACTGTGATGTCTCCAAACACTACAAACTATTGGTTTTTCCACTTTGAATAGATTCGTGTGGTTGGCATCTACTGGAACCTTGAGATAAAAGATTGGGACTGTTTCTGTTTTGGTCCTTCAATCTCCACCTGATCCTCAGATACAATTCTCTGAAGTGAGAGGAGGCCACACACAATTTTCTACACTTTTGAGAAAGAGCTGGTTGATTCTTCACTGAGTTTTAAGTTGCTGGATGTAAGAAGTCTCTCTAGTCTACGCCAGCGGTTCTCAACCCTGGGTCCTTATCAGAATCACCCAGAAGCTTTGAAAGATCCTGAGACCTGGGCAGTACCACAAAACAATTATTATTTTCCAGCTTTCTTGAGATACAATTGACATATAACATTGTGTAAGTTTAAGGTGTACAATGTAATGATTTGATCTACATACAGATTGCAGAATGACTACCACAATAAGGCTAATTAACAACCCATCACCTCACATAGTTATCTTCTGCGTGGTGAGAAGTTTTAAGATTTAATCTCAGCAGTTTTAAATATACAGTACACTATTGTTAAGTATAGTCACCATCACCGCAGAACAATTAAATCAGAATCTGAGTGTGGGTTTCAAGCATTAGCCTGTTTTGAAAGCTTCTCAGATGATTCTAGCGAGCAGTCAAGGTTGAGACCACTGTTTCACTCAAAGTGTGATTCCTGGACTAGCTGTGTTAATATCACCTGGGAGCGTTTATAATTGCAGCATCTCAGGCCTTCCCCTATATCAACAAAATCAGAATCTGCATTTTAACAAGACCCCCAGGTGGTTTAAATTCACATTAAAGCAGCTGGTTCAACCTGGACCAGCACTGCCTGGAAACTGGTCAGAGATGCAGATTCTCAGGTCTTGCCCCAGAACTGAATGAGCAACGCTCGGGCAGGACCCAGCAATCTAGTTTTCGCAAGCCTTCCACTTGCTGCTGCCATGTAGGAATTACAGCTCTCCAGGGCCTGATGACCACAGGACAGAACCCATTGTGTTGGGCTGAAGATCAAGGCTTTTGCGGTCCAGGAAGCAGCCAGCTTCCCTTTCTCCCATGTCTCTGAATGGTGCTCAGTCACCCAAGCCAGAAACCTGGGAAGGTCCGTAATTCCTCCTCCCGTCACTCTTGACCACCTTCTAAACAGCTTTAGGAGCCCTCCAATGCCTGTCCACTGTCACATCCTTGGTTTAGTGGGCATTTCTCTCATCTGTTCTACTCCAAGGGCCACCTCACTGGTGTCCCTGACTCCCACGTCCCCTACACCCGTGTGCCCCAAGGTTTTCCTCAAGCCAGGGAAATGTGGGCCCTTCTATGTAAGCCCCAGGGGAGGTGCTCCGCTGCCCTCAGGATGGAGTCCAAACACCTTCATTGGCATATAAGGTCCTGCTCCTATTTTCTCCATCCAGCTAGTTTCTGATTCTTCATTCAACCCTATGTGCTATCCTCATGGTCAGTTTCTCTCAGTTCCTTGACTGACCATTGCCCACGCTCATCTCTGGGTCTGTTGTACCTGCTGTTCTATTTGTCTGGAAAAGACTCCTTCGTCCTGCCTCATGTCTGCTCAGCATTCATTACTCCTCAGTTTAGTTATCAATTCTGCAAGAGAAATTTTCCTGACCTCTGTCTGGGTTATGTGCCCCTCTGAGGTGATCCCACAGCCTCAGTCCTTCCTGTACCCCAGTGCTTTTCACACTGTTCCACAGGCACCATTTGTGGCCACACACCCAGCACCTAGCATGTGGTGGGTGTCCACTAAAAATGCATCAGTTGGACAAATGAAGGAACGGATGAGACTGAATTCTCACCCCCGTGGAGGAAGCCGTATTCCCTTCTCAAAGAATCCAAGGAGGATATGCTTTTAAAAATGGAATCTTTGGATTTTTTCTGAAACTTAAAACTGATCCCCTAAGTAAATACCAACCTTAAGTCAAAATAGTAATAAGGGTATATGATTTTTCCATTTTAGGAGATCTTCCATACTCATTAACTCATCAAATGCCTATGAAGTACTTATTCTGTGCAGGGCTCAGGCTACCAGGAACATTGGAAGTACAAATGTGCGGTTGGACCCTGCCCCAGCTGACAGTCTAAGTTAAAGATAAGTCATGTGCACATACAACTCTCTTCAAGGCAGAGCCACTGTGGAGGCACCAAAAACTACCAGGAGATGTTGAGGAGCAAGAGGCTCCTGCCTGGGAAAAAAGACTTCATAGAAGAAGTAGCATTCAAGCCAAGTTTTGAATGATAGGAAAGACGTGGGACATCTGGTGACAGCCACGTAGAGCCAGGGACCTGAATAAGCAAAGAGAGAAGCAGTGAAGTCCAGACAGAGTGGGAGAAGGTACCCTTGGATGGGGCTGCAGTACTGAGGACATGGGATTCCTGGTAAGCTGCCCAGCATTTGTCTTATCTCCATAGGCACCTTGGAGCTACTGAAGATATTTAGAGGAGAGTGACAGGTTAGAGCTGTGTGTCAGGAAGAACAGAAATCTGGTCATCTTTTGTGAGAGGACTTAAAAGGGAGGGAATGAGATGGGCAGTGAAAAAAACAGAAAATTCACTATTCCAGGCATTTCCAATGAGTTCCGAAAGCTGACACTGAATAAGTTTGGGTGAGGAAAACTTGTGCTCAATTTTCAGTATTCCCCTCCTCCCCCAGAAATAGCTTTTATTAATGCTACTTCTACTTAAAATAATTTCAAAAGAATCTTTGTTATAATTTTATCCTTTCTTTCTCCTTTCTCCTGTTCATTCTGCTAAAATGCCTCAAACATCTTCTCTTCTAGTAGAAATCCACAGTGTAACAGACCCTACCTCCGATGCTCTTCAACCTAACTCCAGAGGAACAACCACTCACTCACTCAAAAAAATAAATAAAATAAAATAAAAAGGTAAAAAAAAAAAAACAAACCCAACACTATCTCCCCTGCCACCCCCAATCCCCATCTGTGCTTTTGGGCTTGAAAGCTGAGTTTAAAAGACCAACAGCTGCATAATTTGTGCATTACAAAGCTCACTCTGACACCTCACAAACAGGATAGTTTTGTGGTTCGTCACCACCTCCACAACCAGATGACAGTAAGCAAATGACTTCAATCACATGCTTCGGATGACTCAGGAAAGGTCTTTTCTCTAACGCTGAGATCTAAGGCCATCACTAAATGTGGCACTCTCAAATGAAATTTTTAAAAGCACTGCTCTCCAAAGATATATAACCCTCTTTGTTAGATAGATTTTGAAACCTGCCCCACCTCTTCTGCTGAAAGGATGTAGAAAACCCGTCTGTGTTGTGACACAGCTCACTTTTGTAAACCCTGCTATTAGACCTTCTTTGTTGACCAGCCCCAACTGCTTGAGTTTGACAACTAACAAATGTCCTGCCTACAATAGTTAAAAAAAAAAAAAATTCCCTAATCTAGAAAAGAGTTTCTTTTGTTCAGGGCCAGAGTAAATGACAGAAATGCAAAAGGTTCCTCTTTTGTATTAATTCCCCTAACTAGGAAATATTCATAGGCTACTGAAGTCATAAAACAAAGGATGATAAAAATAGACATACAAATAGTTTAAAAAGAGAGCTACCTAGTAAATATGCCAGGTCAAACAGTCAAAAACGGCCACTATAGGTCCTCAGATGTGACTCATAGTTTGAGTGTCTTAATTCACAGCTTACCAGGAAGCTGAGGCTTCGATCTGATGTTCTGTCTCAATTAACAACCAGCAAAGAAGCTGGTGGGTAACACACATCCACCAAGACACAATTCTATATCCTGGATACTTGGCAGGGTCAAAAGAGAAGCATGAGTGTGGGACGATGAGAAGGCCCTCGTCAGGATGCAGCATCCGGGCAGCAGTTTCCTCTGTGCAGCTGGTGCAGAGAGCTCAAAGGTGGGAAGTGGGTGTCAGCATGGGCGCAGGCTATGAAACACTGGGGGTTTAGGGTTTAGAGTTTAGAAACCAGGAAGGGCACATCCCACTTAGCTTGATGTGGAAAGAGGAAAAGAAAGAGGAAAGACTTGGGGGATGTCAAAGTGAGCTTCAGTCAGGGGCTCTGAGATCAGTGCAAAATTGGTTTGTTGAGGACGAGGGCCACTTGTGGGGAGAGGGGAGAAGGCCAACTACTCAGAACTCGGCATGAGGGACAGGCCACTCCGGGACCAGGTGCACAGGACCAGCCACTCAAAGCCCTAAGTGCCACCAGGCTTGAGACAGAATAAGCTCTTGGCAGTCAGCAGTAAATGTTAGTTCCAAGCACTGATGACACCCGAGCCGGCGGATTTCATTACGGCACCTTACCTTGTCTTCTGTGAAGGAGGCCACACAGACTGTCTCATTGGTTTCAGTGGTTCCAGAGACAAGGAACCCAAATCCAAGAAACCCACTAGACTGGTGGGTAGCGTGGAATGATTTTGTAAGAACTGTTCTCAGATGAACATTTTGAAATACAAAAGAACCAACCGAATTCGGCTTTTGAGATTATGAGTTTTTTGGATCAGAAAAGCTCAGGTTCCTTGAAGCTGTCACAATTACAAGTAACAACTACAATATGAAATACTAGAGTACTTCTAGAGATACTTCGGGGCTGTTAACTTACGTTTGTATCCTCCAGCGATGCCCGACTGTGTCAGGCATCTCTGCAATTCATCAGCATCTATTTGCCCATCCTTTTGGGGAAAAAAAAAACAGGAAAAGGAATCACAATAGTGATTTGTACTTTCTAGTTCTTTGTTCATGCGTGACACTTTTTTTTTTCCAAAGGGATGCCTCCCAAAGGTGGGCATTCTTTCTCCTCACTCTACTGCCAAAAACAATTACAGAAAAAAGACAAATTGTTAAGAAGTTTTCCACAAATGGGTAATTAGGGCCATAAACAAAAAATACATTTCTAAATACATAAAGTGGGCATTCAATTTCAACTTTACTTTAAATGATTATTACACAAGAATTAAAGTCTGAATGCTGCTTAAACCTATACTTTAGTATTACAAACATCTTTTCATCATTTCTTCTAAATTCCTGAGTTATAATTACTACAATTGAATATAAATGTTCTCAAGTATAAGGTTCCTTTTATAATAAAACTGCGAGGTGAATTCAGTTTCTTTCATTTATATGTAATATTTTAAAATGTATAAATAAAACTAATTTCTGTCTTGAACTACTCTCAGTCTGAGCTAGGAAACTGCCTAAATTAAGCATTCTAAAATAAAATTATTAATGTAGTTGCTTAAAAGTCTCATTGCTCTCTCTAGCTCTTTTTGTTGGGGGCTGTGGAGAGCAGGGTACACCAGTGCCATCAGTAAATGAAAAGTTCAGTTCCCACAGAAGGAGGCCTCTGTGATCACCTTTACTTACGATGTGATGATTCTGTCACAATTACATCTGGAAGACCCAAGTCCCCAGTGTCTATTCACTGGCTGACCTAGGTCAGAACTAAATGTATGTTCTTTTTAGGAATTTAAAAAAAATACCTAATTCCTCAAGTCCATGGGTGCTGTAAATTCTAAATAATCTGAAAGATGATGGACATGCTGCTGCTGGCCAGGGCTGCTGAAAGCTAAGCAGGCAGGGTCACTTACATGCCTGCAGGCACAGGCATCTAAGAATACGGAGTCCTGAGCTTTGCCATGTCTTGTGGTTTCAAGATACAGATCACTAACAGATTAAGCAGATACTTCAAAGGAAGCTTTCGGTTTTAGACTCAATTTTCCATTCAGTTTCTCAACCTGTATTTCTTCCACTGCCATTCTCAAAGGTGGTCCTAGGTTTTTATCCTGTAGTACTCCATGGCATTTTCACATTAAGACTGTGTTATTTCCAGCTTTGGATCAGAATAAAGCTAAGTTGAATTCCTAAGTGTCAACCCCCCCTGGACAGGTCTGGAATGGACCAGCAGTATATTTACCAGGCACAGTGACCTAGGAGCTGGGTGAGGGTCCTCCCTCAGGATGCAGCACTACCTGTCACAGGACTCAGAATGAACAGAAGTGCAAGGTCATGGGGTGCTGACCTCAATTCTCTGGGTCAGCAGAGCACAACACTTGATAAGGTCACGGAAGGGACCTAGGAACAGCATCAGCATCAAAGAGAACCTAGACTGTCCACAAGATTAACTTCCTCATAGTAAGAAGAGAGTAGTAAATTTCTTATTTTGAAGTTGGTGGATTTTTTTTAACCATAAATACCTATTTCCCAAGGGGATAATTGATTTAACAATTAAATTCAACCCACAGAAAATGTCCATTAGGCACTGGCTATAGACTTACTAGTAATACATGCTTTTAAGTTGTACAAAGGGGGCTTTATGTTCAGTAGATCTGGAATTTCTTCTCTGGAAACCACCATGGACCCTGACCATTCACAGTTCTAAAGACATCTTTCTGACAGCTCTTCAAAGCTATTTACACTAGCCTATTCTGTTCAACTTGACCCTGATTCAATCACAAGTTTAGTTCTGAATTGAACATGAACACTTTTGTCCTAATTTCTTCGGAATATTTGCATATATGAAACCGACTACGGACTTCTTTCTTTTCTCTTACGCAGAATAAATTCTTTTCCAGAGGAAAGGCCTTTTTTTTCTGTGCCACTATAAGAAAGGCTAATGCAAGTGTAGAATCTGGCAATTCTTTAATATTAGAGGAAAAAACTAACCTGTCCAGCTACAGCCGCAAAGTAACCGTACAGCGGATCCTGAGTTTGTCCGGGAAACGCAGGCCCTCCGGGAGCTCCCCCATACTGTAAGACAGGAAACACAAATAGCATCATTCCGCTGACCAAGTTTTATTCCTTCCCCACTGATTGCCTCATGCAAAGCCAGGCAACTGCCCGCCCTTCTGGTCATCTGCCTCCCCATCATCGGGAACATTCTACCTACAATCACACCTCCCCTTTTCCGCCTTATTTTCACCTCGTTTTAATGCAAAAACTGGCGGCTAGGATCAAAGTGAGTTGTCTGCACAGTGACATCTGTGGAAGTGAAGCAACTTTTAAAATCCCCATCATCCTGCAGGTTACTGAGATAAACGCAACCTGGGCAAGCCACTGACGATCAGGTCTCAGAACTGTTTTCCTTTTATTTGTCTAGCATGTACGGTATTTTTAAAACGTTCTGAGACAGGTGTAGTCTCGGGCGGTGGAAGCTGTGTCAGCAGGGCTTCGCGGGGAGGGAACATTCCGCCTTGGAAACAGTTCCCACCATGATGCGCATCCCTGACGCCGGGGAGGCGGCCTTCCTCCCCGAGGATTTTGACTCTAGCGGACTTTCCCTGACTTCCCTTTTTCCTCACTTTCTTTTACAGAAGGAGAGGTCGGTCTCTGGACCATTCTAGACTAAAATGGCTGTTTCTCTCAGGGAAGGTGGAGAGGGAGGGGGAGGAAGGCAACACCCAGTTTGCACGATTTCACGCCGCGGAAGCGGGAGCCACAGGGTGGGCTTCGGGGGACAAAAACTGGTAGCCGGGGAGAAGCAGGGCCAGAGGGAAGGAAGGCGCCAGGGACGGCGG